TTTGACAAGCAGGCCACCACCTGAGCTTTTTCCTTTGGCCTAGGTGATAGAAGCAAGCACTCTACCCCCAAGCCAACTCCCCAGCCCTAGGAAGACTGTCTTTGTGCATATTTAAACTCGACTCTAAAAAACCCATCAATAAGGGAATTTATGAAATTATCAGGAAAAAAAGACATATAGAAACCTATTGCACCTTCTGCCCCCTAGGACCACAGTATATTTCCACCTTCCCCCAGGCCTTCCCCAGGTGGAAAGAATCCCTTCGGGAAAACAGAAACCAGATCCAACAAGAGTATTGATTGTAAAGTAAAGCCTGGAGAAAAAGCCAGAGATCACCCTGGATGTAACATAAAAGAGAGAGAAAAAAAAACAAAACAAAACACAATGGGCAGCGTTGCTGACTTCTGAGCTCCTGAACCTGCTTCTGAAGTCATTTTCATCATACTGTCATCAGAAATCTCCAAGGTCCTGAAAAACATCTAAATGCAAGATTACACCTTTTTTCTTCTAATCAAATAGACCTATACACCTAAAAGCAAAGAGTCATTTAAAATGAAAAGTAACTGACAGGTGGACCACATGAGCTGTTAAAACAGCACACATGTGAAATACTTTCTTCACAGAACATACTACGTTGCCTTTGCAACGTTTTCCAGTTTGATATGCAGATTAGATTGTGGTCGTCACCCATTTCGCAATTTCCAAATATCTCCTGTGGATATGCCATTTAAGTGGTGGAAACACTCCTCAGCCCAGCTGAACAAAGGACTGTTTTTACTACGTTACCAGGCTCCGCCGTACCTCTTAGAAGACAAAGAGAATGATTGCTCCCCAGATCAAAGGGCTTCTCTCCTCCTCTATCGATCTCCTAGAAGATAATTTGATTGCTCCTGCATTTTATGCTCGGATCTTACAAGCTCCAGGCTGGGATGGAGATGAGCTGAGATTTATAAATCCTTTCTCACAAAGACACACACACAGAGCAGGATTATATTTCAACAGTAAGCCATGCTCCAGGTTTCTAAAGTTTTATGTGTCTGTAAGACCTCAGTGATTCCTCATAGCTCTGGATACAAAGGGAGAAAAATGAAGATTGATTGCGGAGGATTTTCTCATCTGTCTTCTTCACGATTCGTCACTGTAGCTACCAGATGGCCACTCTCTTCCCTGATGAGGCAGGTGGCCTCTGTTTGTGTCGTTTCATTCCAGCTCTCTAATGGGTTCTCAGGGGTTTTAGAGTGCCCAGCAGAGTGTAACCCAGAACATGGAATAAAGGCTAAAGCTTTGGAATATAATCAGTAACAGGTCTAGCCTGTTGTTGGCAACTGCACAGAGCAAACTCCAAAGGTGTGTTTTGTTGTTTGGCTGTTTAAGACCCTACATCTGAGGCTGAAGACATGGCTCAGCAGTTACAAGCACTTGCTGTTCTTGCACAGGACACAAATTCAGTTCCCAGCACCCACCAAAAACAAAACAAACAAAAAAACAAAAAATGAATGAACAAACGAAAAATCCAAACCAAAACAAAAGGTGCACAACCACCCAGCTCCTGGGGAACTATGCTGCCCTCTTCAGTCCTCTGTGGGCACTGCAGTCACACTCACAAGCATAAATCCTCACACTGACGCCGGCCTACACCATTACAAAATAAACCTTTTTAAAAAGAGCCTCCACTGACTTTTTCCCCTTCTTTTTTCCAGACAGGACCTTATAGCCCAAACTGGCCCGGCGCTTGCTATCTAGCCCAGGTTAGCCTCAAATTCAGACTCTTCTTAGCTCCCTTCCCCTCTCTGACCTCCCCCCTGCGCGCCCCCCCGCCCCCCCCCCCCGCATGTTGGTGTTATAGGACTATGCCACCAGGTCAGGTTTAGGCCAGTTTTACCCAGGCTAGCCCTCAACTCGTGGGGTCTTGTGATTCTTCTGCTTCAGATGTCCAAGTTACTAGGACTATAGCCTGAGACACCAGCAGTGCAAATTAAAACAAATTTACCGCACGAAGTTTCATCTGCTTTGTATATTAATGAAGAGACTGCCCAGTCCTTGACTTCCCGACCTAAGGACTCATACATGATATTAAGAATTCGCAGGCTGGAGAAATGGCTGTTCTTCCAAAGGTCCTGAGTTCAATTCCCAGCAACTACCTGGTGGCTCATAACCATATATAATGTTATCTGGTGACCTCTTCTGATAATAAAAAAATAAATAATTAAAAAAAAAAAAAAGAATTCCCAGTCAGCTGTAGTGGTAGACACCTTTAATCTTAGCCTTCAGGAGGAAGAGGTATGCAGATCTCTGTTACAGGCCAGCTTGACTACACAAGCAAGTTCAGCGAGACCCTGTCTCAAAAGTTTTAGTTAGGGTTTCATTGCTGTGAAGAGACACCAGGACCGTGGCAACTCTTATAAAGGAAAGCATTTCATTGGGGCTGGCTTACAGTTTCAGAAGTTTAGTCTATGATCATTATGATGAGCAGCATGGCAGCACGCAGGCAGACACGGTGCTGGAGTTCTACATCTTGATTTCCAAGGTAGGAGGAGACTGTGTGCCACACTAGGCAGAGCTTGGGCATATAGAAGACCTCAAAGCATACCCCCTCAGTGACACCCTTCCTCCAACAAGGCCACACCTCCTACTTGTGCCTCTTTCTATGACCCAAGCATTCCAACACATGAGTCTATTCGGGCCACACCTATTCAAACCACAACATCCTGTAGAGCTAATTGATCCTTAGCTGAATGAAAAGAGCTCTGGTACCTGAAACTGTCCATGGGACACTCTAGCCCAAGTATAAGCACAAAAATCAAGGTTAGCATCAGAGCGAAAGCAGAATGCAGGAGCTCCAGCCTCAGAGCCAAGCTGTTAATCACCAAGCTCCTTAATCACCTCTCCTGCTTAGGGATAAATGTAGGTAAAGCAAGAAGGGGGGGAAAAGGATTCTGTATCAATCTCATAGGCTTAATGGACATATCCCTTATTCATTAGGAAGGAACTGAATTACCAGACATTGTAGTACAAACCTTCATCTTAGTACTTGCAAGTCTGAGGTAGGACTGAGTTTGTGCAGCCTAGACTGCAGTGAGAGCCTTCTCAAAAAACTGAAGGAGCACTTGCCATGTATGCTAATGCTTGGCAGACATTCAGGAGATCAATATGGCATTTCATTTGTAAAAGACTATTAAATCTCTGCAGGAAGTTAATTCAGATTTCCCCAGTCTGTTTTTGAAGAGAAGCCAACAGTCACATTTATTTGTATGCTACCACATTCAAAAGATAAAAAGTAAGAACCTTCCTATTCTTTTTAGAGACAGAGTATCATGTATCCTGGGCTGATGTCTAACCCTGTCTCAAAACAGTGGTGGGCTGGAGAGATAGCGCATGCTTGCTGTGCAATCTTGAGCACCAAAGTTTGGATCCCAGCACTTTTGTGGTGATCCAAACTTCTGACAAATGCTTCTAACTTCTGCTCTGAAGGGTGCGACACTCTCTCCTGGCTTCTACCTGTATACACAAGTTAAGTTCACATACATACACACTGAGACATTACACACACAAATACTTTTGGCGGTTTGTGTCATTTTGTCTTGTTTTGTTGAAATGAGGTCTATGTAGTCCTGGCTGTTCTGGAATTATGTATGTCAAGCTAGCCTCAAATTCAGAGCTCCTGTCTCTGCCACCTGAGTGCTGGGATTATAAAATCTACCACCTGCCTTGAATTCTAGCTGTTTTACAATCCAGATCACAGGGGTTTGGGAAATGAGTCAACAAAGTGCTTGCTAGGCAAGCATTAGAATCTGAGTTCTGTCCCTAGCTCCCACATAAAAACCTAGATGTGGTGGTATGTCCTTGCAGTTGAGTGCTTGGTAGGCAGAGGAATGAGGATCTCTGGGGTTTGCTGGCCAGCTAGGCTGTCCAAATCTGTAAGTTCCAGTTGAGAAACCCAGTCTTAAAATATAAAAAAGTGGTTAAGTGGGCAGTTCCTGAGGAAAGCACCTGAGAGACTTTGGATGTAACCTCTATACCCAAACCAGAATTTCTTTTATTTTCTTATTTATTGTATGTATATGTGAATGAGTGTGCCATAGCAAACACACGGAGGTCGGGACTATTTGTCGGAGGTGGTTCTCTCTACCATGTGGGCTCCAGGGATTAAACTCAAGTTATCAATCAGGCTTGGCAGCAGGCGACATTACCCATTGAACCATCTCTCTCTGGCCCACAAATCAAGATTTCTGGCATGTGACATTATACAATGAAGGTTTACTTCCTCAGGCTTTGATTACATGTGTACATCTGTGATTTGGAGTCACATCATAGTTTATGGTAACAATGTAACTTACTGTGGACAAGTTCTGGGGCATGAATAATCGAATCACCTAAATCACAAATACTCTACGTGCCTACTCCCAACAAAAACTGAATACTTCAGTGACCTTGTTATCAAAACATTATTACACTAATATCTGAGAATTAAACACTGTCCCTGCGTGACAATTGAAATAGGACAACCAGAAACTTCTATGTGGTTTTCCTCAGCTCCAAGAAATATGCCTATTGCCCTTGCTGACTTTAATGTGCATCCTCTGGCTTTGATGACTATGAATAAAAGCTCCCTGAACCTGAAGATGGCTGTGGAAATCCCTAAGTGGATGCTGGCATCACTTGAGTAATCAGTGAAAGAAAAATTGAAGTGGCAATGGACTCTACAGTTGTCTATCATCAGTAACATCAGCTCAGCACAGCACAGCATCAGTGAATGCAAAGGTGCTGATTAAATGACTATTTACGGAAGTTTATTCAGACACCCTGCCTTTTCAGCTGTTTTCAAAAATCCAGCCATGGCTCAGTGGGTAAAGGTACTTGCCACCAAGCCTGACTACCTTTGAACCCCAGGACCCCACATGGTGGAAGGAGAAGACTCCCTTGCTCTCCTTCCATAACACTATGGCATGTGCACACAGAATGAGAAAATAAAGAAAAAAATATGTCAACACACTTCAAAATTGGCTAAAATAATTTTTTATTAAATGTCAGAAGAGATTTATGCACAATTCACAAATTCTTTACAAAAACAGTTGCCAATGTCCAATTTTGTCAATTTCTGTACAGATTTGGAAATTTTGCAGTAAAATAAGAGTCTACAAAATATTTTTTAGAAAGCAGTAAGATGCTAATTTTAGGCAAAATAATGTTTAAAACTAAGTCTTTGTGAAAGCAAGGTTCTCAAAGACTGATTCTTTATCCCAGTGACAAGAAAACAAACATTAAAACATGGAATCAGTTATGCTAAGTGACTGAGAAAAACAATAAGGACTCTGTAAACTTCTGGTAATTCACCTGAATTTTTTTTCTTTTTTTTGCTACTGTTAGAAGCAGTGCCATTATCAACAGCCACAATGAGTACCTTGTGACACCTGTCCCATCTGTAAGGGATGTTAAGAAGAGCCATATCTAACAGAAGACAGTGCCTGCAGTCGCAGAGCTGGGTGACACTGCTTTAGTAGTGGTTAGTTCAGAACAGGACAGGAACCTATTGTGCCCAGTAGTTTTGGTGCTGAGCGTGCCCTGCGGTCCAACAGACTGGCTTTGAATTTAAAGCAAGGCTGTTCTGCAAGGACACCTGCCCAACCCATGCAGCGGGGAGGACAGATTCCTAGCTGCCAAAAGTCTAACCTACCTCAAAGATGGGAAGCAACCAGCAACATCCTCGTATTTGGAATCACAAGGAATTTTAAAATTCAGTGTTTTCAGTTTTTTCCCCTGAGTTTTGAGTGTTTTGTTTTTTACATAGTCTCTAGTGTAGCAGATACATTCTATTGTTTCAAGTTGTACACACAATGCTAGGGTTCTGGAGCTGAAGACAGAGCCAGCTTGTAACAGCATGAAGTAGTGGCGGCTACATGCTTTGTGAGAATCTTTGGTGCGATGTAGACCTGCAGAAGCCTCTTCACTGTGTTTCTTTCTCATATACCCTTGAATCTTCAAGTTATTTTCAAAGGAGAAACCACAAGACCATAATGAAGAACAAGCAAACCATCCTGAAAAGAAGAGAAGGGAGTTATTTTGTAGTTCTTTGAAAACTATAATATATGATCAAACCAAGACTGGCTGATTTTTCATAATCTAACAGTAATGAGAAATTATTTAATGTTAAAAAACAGAGTATAATATAAATATAACTTATTTACTTGACATTAAAAAAACTTATCAATGTACTTTTTTTTTCCTTTCTTTTTATCCCAACCTGAGTTCCCCCTCGCCCACCTTTCTTTCTCTTTTTTGAGACAGTGTTGCAATATGGCTGGTCTTGTGGGCCTGTACCACCATGCCTCTCCTCTTCTTTTTCTTTAACACTTGGAAGAGAAGGTGTATCAAAGCCTGGGAGCTGGAGCTGCAGGACAGTTATGAGCTGCCTAACATGGGTGCTATGAACCAACTCTCTACAAGAGCAGTACATGCTACTAGTTGCTGAGTCACATCTCCAGACTCATGGTCCTTTTTTGAGATGGTCTCACTGTGTTGCCCAGCTTGGTCAAGAATTTCTGGGCTGAAACAACTCTTTTGCTTCAGCGTCCTGCAGCTCAGCTATAAGTGACCCATCCCAACAGGTCAATGTGATGACTCTTAGAAGCCAATTTGTGACTCTCATATAACATAGTTAGCCAGGGGCATGCATTTATGACCAACAACAACTGAGAAAAGACCTTTCCTTGTCCATAGACTATTTAACAGACTTACTAAATACTGGGTCTATGTAAAAAGAACTCAAAATCGTAACAGAAAGGATCAAGAAATAAAATGCTGGGATGGGAGTGGTGGTGCATGCCTTTGATCCTGGCAGACAGGCAGATCTCTGAGTTCAAGGTCAGCCTGGTCTACACAGTTTTCAAAGACAACCAGAGGGGGTTGGAGAGATGGCTCAGAGGTTAAGAGCACTGGCTGTTCTCACAAACGTCCTGAGTTCAATTCCCAGCAACCACATGGTGGCTCATAACCATCTATGATGAGATCTAGTGCCCTCTTCTGGCATGAAGGTACACATGTAAGCAGAATGCTGTATAAATAATAAATAAATAAATCTTTAAAAAGACAGCCAGAGCTACAGAGAAACCCTGTCTCGGAAGTGGGGCACAGAGAGGCAGAGACAGAGAAATAAAAATGTTTAATGTACATATACAGCTTACTATTTTTTAAAGATTTATTTACTCATGCATATGAACACTATTTGCCTACATGACAGAAAAGAGCATACATTACAGGTGTGGTCTTCATCACTTCTAAACAAAACCCCTTAAACCTCCAAAAGGCAGCTTAGGCAGGCCTGGAACCCTCTATGTTGAGAGGATAACCTTGAACTTTTTATCTTCCTGTCTCTCCCTCCCAAGTGCTTAGACTGCAGGCAAGTACTATCACTTCTAGTCGAGTCTCTTGCTCTCTTCTTCTTCCTTGAGACAGCGTTTCACTATGTAGCCCTGGCTGACCTGGAACTCAAGAGTTCCTGCCTCTCCTTTGTAAGTGCTGGGGTTAAAGGTGTGCACCAACAGGACTCATTTTGTTTTGAGACAAGGTTTGAGGATCTAAGCATGTGATCCAGGTTAGCCTGAATTCAGATACTGACTCACCTTTCCAAGAACTAGTTTCAGGTGTGAGCCATCTTGGTGTCAGGTCTTACTATTGTGCTCTCACTAAGGATGCACCAAGTAAGTAATCCACCCTTACAAGGCACTTCTACTTGCACTACTACTTTCTAATTACTAGAAAACTGGCTAAAAGGACCTCATGGAAACTGTACCAAGGACCCATTTTAAGCAACACAGAAAAGGTAACTGGCATACAAGCTTCACAGTCCAATCTTGCTCTCATATTTTCGTTCTTTGCTAAGATTTCCCATATGTGGTAGTTTGAACGGGAATGGTTTCCAAAGATTCATATTTGGTCCCAGTTGGTTAAACTGTTTGGGAAGGATTAGGAGATTCGACCTTGTTGGAGGAGGTGTCAACGTGGGGAGGGCTCTGAGGTTTCAAAAGACTCATGCCATTCCCAGTGTGTTCGCTACCTCTTCCCTCCTGTCCAACATGTGACTTTAGTCTACTGCCACTGTAATCTTTGCTCCACCATCACAGACTAATGCTCTGAAACCATAAGCCCAATTAAACTTTCTTTTGTATGTTTAATTTGGCCATGATGTTTTATCGCATCATAGAAAAGTTAATTAAGGCATTCATGAAGTACAGGCTGGTGGTTCTCTGGGAGTCTGAGGCCAGCCTGGTATACATAGTTAGTTCCAGGACAGCCAAGGCCACATAGAGAGAATCCATCTCAAAAACACCAAAACAATAACCATAGCTTTATTTCTTCATTTCTCATCCACTACTCAACCCATTGCAATCTAGCTTCTGTTTTGTCTACTCCAGTAAAGATGTCAGGATCCTACAAAAGGATTTAAAAATTTAAATGCTCACGAAGACCAGGAAAGTGACATAAATGAAAGCATATCAGGCAAATGAGAATGACAAAGAAAAAGGTAAACCAAAAGGCAGATGCCTAACTGCAGGAATTTAAACATTTAAAATAGAGAGTAGGTCAAATAAAACATAATGCCATGTCATGTTTGGTCCATGAACCATCTGCTCTAAACTAATTAGCATGATCAAAGTGAATGTCCATATAATACAAATACAAAGATCCCACTACCAAATTTATATGCATACAAATGATACTTCTGCAATTCACTGTTATCGTTCAGAAATGAAATGCAGAACAATAAATTGATATGCACATATAAAACTCAAAATGTAGCTTCCAAGCTGTCTCGAGATCTCAAAATTACTTCAGTGCATATATAAGAACATATTTTATAAAATAATTGCTTGTAATTTAAGTGTAATCTAAATGTCTATATTTATAGTTTGTATAAATATGTATATGTATGCATCACTGAAATTTATGTTTTCTATTCATATCTCTGTCATAATCTTTAACTTTTAAGTATATGTCAGTTTAGCCAGGGTTTGTCCTTTACAGGTTCAAATGCTGAAAGCTTAATTCCTAGTGTAGAGTGTTGAAGACATGGGGCTTAATGGAAGGTAATTAGATCAAGGGTTTCTACTCCCACAAATGGATTAAAGCATTTTAGGAGAACTGGCCAGGTCCCCTGAGACTTTATTGAAGACCTGAGTGCGGGTCTGGTTTGTTATTGTTTTTGAGACAGTGTCTCAAATAGCTCAGCCTCAAACTAGCTTATATAGCCAAGGATGGCATTAAAGTCCTGATCCTCTTGCTTCCACCTCCCAAGTGATGGTATGTGTATGCCACCACACCCAGCAAACATGGCGTGTTATAAAGAAAGTTCAGCTCTTCCGACAGCAATCTTGAATAATAAATCAGATTGTCACTTAATCCCAAGATTTTTGTTTATGAATCCTTGGTTTTGCTTGACACAGAGTCTAAAGATGTAGCCCAAGGTCCTCAAACTCTACAGCAAACCTAGAACCTCTGTGAGAGCATGCAGTACCCTTAATCTCGGAGTCATTTCTTCAGCTCCACCAGCACAGAATTTTCATAATTCATTAAATATTGTTATCTGTCTAGCCTAGGCCTGACAAAGTCCAAGACCGACCTGCATTGCTGCATCACCTATTGCACGCCGGATTTCCCGGAGAGTTTGGTACCGTTCCAGTAAGTGATCACCGCAGATGATATCTACCTATGGAAAAACAATGGGTTATCAGACCCCTTTCCTGTTTCAAAGGACATGAAAGGGGGAAGTAGCATGATTACTTCCAAGATTGCTTTTAACTATTTTACAGTAGACTTTTTAAAAATTAGAGTGTTTGCTTTGTGTGCACACTTAAGAATGGAGCCCAGAAGTTGGCAGATGTTTTCTATCATTTTCTAACTTATTTTCACTGGACGTGGAGCTCAATAATTGATTAAGCTTGATGGCCAGTGAGCTCAGGGAATCTACCTATCTGTGTCCCTGTCCTGGCTTTTACTCAAGATAGGAATCCAGGTCCTGGTGTTTGTCAAACTCTTTTGATAAAACATTCTCAAGAAAAGTTTTTGAGGCAAGCATGGCAGCATGACAATGGTCCCCAATGAGAGGGCTTAAGTAAGAGGATCAAGAATTGAAAGTTAGTTTGGGCAAGTTTGCAAGATCATGTCTTAATATAAAAATTTAGAGGGTTAGAGAGATGACTCAGTGGCTAAGAGAAGTTGCTGCTCTTGCAGAATATCTTGGTTTTTGTTTGTTTGGTTGGTTTTGGTTTTTCAAGACAGGGTTTCTGTGTAGACCAGGCTGTCTTGGAACTCAAGAGATCCACCTGTCTCTGCCTTCCAAGTGCTGGGATTAAAAAGGTGCGTTACTATTGCCTGGCCAGAGTGCCTGTGTTTAATTCCCAGCATTCTAGCAAGTATGAAAGCCAGTATTGCACAAAGAAACAAATTAACTGCTTATTATTTACCATCTCTAGAATTTTTGTTTTTGTTTGTTTGTTTGTTTGTTTGTTTGTTTGTTTGTTTTTTGACACAGGGTTTCTCTGTGTATCCTTGGCTGTCCTGGAACTCTGTAGACCAGGCTGGCTCTTGAACTCAGAGATCCCCTGCCTCTCCTGAGTGCTGGGATTAAAGGTGTGCGCCACCATTGCCTGGCCATCTCTAGAATTTGGAAAGCTTAAACAAAGTCACAAGGTACATGGGTCTACATACTTGATAATCTTTACCATTATTTCAATATTTTGAAGAAAATGATGTCATGAATATTACAAGGTATGTACTAACAGTAGGAAATATTTACCTACAGAATTAAAAGCTGGAAAAATTAAAAGGATTACCGTATGTGTACAAGATTTGTGTTTATGAACCTGTGTGCCCACAGTGATTGTGGAGGTCAAAGGACTATTCTGTAGAGTAAGGTTTCTCCTTCTACCATTATGTTGGTTCCATGGATTAAATTCAAGTGACCAGACTTGCCAAAAAAGTCTTTACTGAGAAGCCACCTCTCTGTCCTAAACTCACATTTTTAAGGATCATAATCAACAGTTACTGAGCAATGCATGATAGTTAAGTCTGATGAATGAGAAAGCAAAGCTATATAAAGGTACATTTTCAGTTGACAGATAACTAGAATTTTGGGTATGTTTTAATTTTTAGTTACATGCAAGGTTTGATGTTTTCTAACTTACAACACAAAAGTACTACATAAGTAGGAGGCATTTTTCAATATTTCAAAAGCTAATAGGGTCTATATGAAGTATTTCAATTTTCTAGGTATTTGAATTTCCATGTTACACTTCCAAGGATGTTTTCTGATGGAAAGTGGAAACTAAGTAATCTCTAGTTTTATTACCAACTGCAAAAGAGCTGGAATTGAGGTCTTGAAATCTCTTAGTATTTCCCATATTTCCAGTTTTTCTGAATCCAGAAATGGCCATCAATCGCAATAAGAAATGGAGCATATAATGGCTAATCTTGGCTGTCAATCTGACTATATCTAGGATCAACTAAAACCCAAGCAATTGGGCATACATGTGAAGATTCTTAATTAGCTCATTTGCGGTCAGAAACCAATCCTAAGCCTGGGCCTCAGCTTCTGGTGAGAGCCTGTCTCACTGGCAAATTTACCTATCCTGCTGCTGAGGTTTACTTCACTGTGGTTAGTACACAGACCGAAGACCAGTTGTCTTAGCCTCACGGACTGACCAACTACCAGATTCTTGACCTTTGCATCAGAAGACAGCCATTGTTGGACTAGCTGGACCACAGCCTGTAAATCATTCTTATAAATCTCATATATATATATATATATATATAATATATGTTATATGTGTGTATGTATATTCATTCTATCAGTTTTATTCCTCTGGAGAACCAGATGTGACTGTGTGGAACTCACAAGGCATCAACAATCCATTAACAGTCACAATATCCACAACATCATAAAAAACCACTACCTAATTCTAGAGACAATTCTTTCTTAATATGTCAAAGGTAGTCTTGCAACCTCACCTTTCCTTTTACATACATGTACTGTACCTGACAAGCTGGATCAAGACCCATTTTTCTTCTAAGAAATTTTTCTACATGCCCAATAGTTGCCTCTCCTGAAACACGCACAAACTTCTTTTCCAATGGCTACAAAAATAGATAAAGACTTTTTAGATTATGTAAATGTATACAAAATATATAAACTTTAAAGCAAATTTTAGAGCAAAGATGATTCAGTGGGCTCTTAAAAGAAAAACTGCTAAGAATTTGAGTCAATTTGTAATCCAAAGAAAAAAATAGAAATTCTTCAAATCTTTTAAATATACGCCAACAAAATTTTTAATAGACAGACTTGTTAGTTTACTTAAAAAATAAAAATAAAAAAATAAAAGTCCATAAAAGAAAAAGTCCAGTGGAATGGTACATGCCTGAAAAACTACCACTTGAGAGGTGGAGGCAGAAGGATTGTAAATGATCAGCCTGAAGTATATAGTTGGCATCCTATTGCAAACATATATACATATGCATGACAAAACAGGTATTGAATGACTGCTTGTAGTTTCAACTACTTAGGAGAAAGTGACATAAACTCTTGAGTGTTAACCTCGATCAAGGTAGTACATGCCTGGAGTTCCACCTACTTGAAAGCCTGAGGCAGGGGGTTAAAAGCCAAGAGACAGAAGGAGAAAGACAAAGAAAGAGAGAAAAAGAAATAGAGAGAAAGAAAGAGAGAGAGAGAAAGAAAAAGAGAAAAGAGAAAGAAAAAACAGAAAGGGAAAGAAAAAAGAGAAGGAAGGAGAGACAGAGAGAGAGAGAGAGAGGAAGAACTAAAAAAGAAGCAAGGCATAGTAGTTCATACCTGTACTCCCAGTGCTCTGGAAGCTAAGGCAGAAAAACTGTAGCTAACAACAGCCTAAGCTATCAGCCTATCTCAAATAAATAAATAAGCAAATAAACAAATAAATAATAAAGATTGTGAAGGGAGATTTTTTTTTCTTTTTAAAATTTAAAATGAGAAGAAATCTAGACACAAGGTGGCTTGAGCTATAGGCAGTTGTGAGCCACTCAATGTGGATGCTGTGAACCAAACTTTAGAAACTCTGCAAGAGCAGTATGTTCCAGATTCCCCAAAAACATTTGAAGGTCTCCAGGAAAAGGTCAGTCACCTTAGTTTCTAGGTACTAGAATCACCTCAGACAGATCACCCCACTGTGAAAACATCTTTAGCCAGAAACAATCATCTCAAGAGAACTACAATGTCTCCTAAAACAATAAGTACTTCTCTGAACCACCTTGAAGAGACAGGTCTAAGTAAGATAAGATGCATCAGACCACAATTTGACCAAAACTAAACTGTATAGACTTGTTGCCTCCTGGCCAAATTCTTCTTGTATTTAAACCTAAAGTTGCCACGCAGGGTGACTCATACATATAATCCTGGCACTCAGAGACTAAAACAAGCACACCGCCATGGATTCAAGACCAGACAGGGATACAGGAGTTCCAGGTTAGTCTACAGAATAAACACCCATTTCAAAAACACAAAACAACCACCACAAAAAGCCAGTGACCTGACAACAGTTGGGAGTCACAGAACCTCTTTATCTGTTCCTCTTCCTAATGTGGCAACATTGACTAAACCTCCTTTTAACGCTTTTCATCAATACTTTTTTTTTTTTCCCAGACAGGGTCTCATGTAATCCAGGGTTGCTTTGAACTTGATATGTATCTCTCAACACTGTTTATGAACCCAGGGCTTCATGCATGGTAGACAAGTGAGTACTGTACCAGCTGGAACTATCTCCCTAGCCCCAAGGACTCATTTCTTTAAATGTCACAATGGAAGGAACAGCTGAGCCCTGTGTGTTGTGGACTCCTCCAGCTACGGGTTTAAAATGTCACAATGGAAGGGACAGCTGAGCCCTGTGTGTTGTGGACTCCTTCAGCCATGGCTTCCCTAAAACTCTAGAAACAGGAACCACAAACAAATAAAACAACCCTGACCTTTTCTTAATAAAATTAAGAGTCTATATCACAGAGATACATCACAGAGATTTTATTTTTGTAGGTGTAGCTTGTTATATGTCTCAGCAACTGACAAAGTATGATACAAAGTAGTTTATTCTTACCTCAAATCTCAGTGAATGCTTGAAGTGACAAGTTAAGGAAGGTTAACTTCAGCCAAAAATGTTAAATATAAAAGTTTAAATTTCACGTTAAACTCTAAGGACCAACTACACAAAAGACACTTTGGATTTTTATTTATTTTTTGAGACAGGTCTTACTACAATAGCCCAGGCTGGCCTTGAATTTTGGATCCTCTTGCTGCAGCTTTCAAAGCGGTAGGAAGACAAACTTATACCACACCTGGCTCTTATAATTTTTTCAAATCATCACATTAAAGTCAGGCCTAGCGGTATATGTTTATAATCCTAGCACTTGGAAAGTAGAGGCTGGAGGTTCAGGAGTTCAAAGTCATCCTTGGCTATATAACAAGTTCAAGGCCAGCACGGGCTACATGAGACCTCTCTCCAAATATAAAATAAATTACCACTGAATACAATGTTTGATTTTATAGATTACTTATTTCCTTACTTAACTGGTTTGAATAAGTAATAAATCCCTATTTAATATCTCTTACCCTGAGAAACTAATGTAGCATTACTGTTGAATTTCAATAACTTACTTGTCAAATATTTATACATTAATTGAAGATAATCTTGTTGCTAATCTATTCAGAAATTTTATATCTACAGCATCCTCTTACAAAGTAAACAATAAAATAAAATACCTTAAAATGTCTTGTGTCTTCATTAGCACTGAAAAATTAAGAAAAAGTTAACCAAACTTAATAATTTAAGTTACATGCTTAATCATATATATAAATATACAAACATTTCATAGGCAGCAATTCGTTTAACTTGAAAAAAATTTTTTGTTTGGTTTTGGGTTTTTTTTGTATTTTTTTGAGACAGGGTTTCACTGTGTAGTCCTGGCTATCCTGGAATTCGCTCTGTAGACCAGGCTGTCCTAGAACTCAATCATCTGCCTTTGCCTCCCAGGTGCCAGGATAAAAGGCATGTGCCACCTTGACCCACTAAAAACCTTTTTCACATGTGCTTATTTACAATGACACTCATGCTGCTGCTCATGTGGAGGTCAGAAGACAATTGACAGGAATCAGCTCTCTCCTTCCGTTACTTGAGTTCCTGGGATTTAACTCAAGTGGACAAGTCAGGCAGCAAGTGCCTTGCCCTACTGAGCTGTCTGGTTTTTAAAATTATGTTTGAGGCAGGAGCTCATGTATCTCAAGGCTTGCGTGGAACTCATTTCGTAGTTGAGGCTGACTCTGAATTCCTGCCTCTAGCTCCTGATTACTGGGTTTTATAGCTGTGCTACCATACCCAGCATTTTCTTTTGAGACTGAGTCACTGAGTAGTCTAGCTGCCCTGCAACTTGAGATGTAAACCAGGCTGACCTCAAACACACAACGATCTGCCTGCCTCTGTCTCCCAAGGGCTAGGAACAAAGGCATGAGCTACTATGCCTGGCCTTATTTTATTTTTAAACTGTTACCTAAATCTTTAAGAAATAAAATTGTCACTTCTGCCACCTAGTGGTAAAACAAAGGCAGTTTAAGCAGTATTTTAAACTTGCCACACTTGATTTCCTAGGGGCTGTTGGGGGAATTTCTGAGACCAGTCTCACTATGTAGCCCTAGATGGCCAGGAACTAAAGGCAAGTGCCACCATACCCAGTCTAATGTTAAGTTAAAAAAAGGCAGGCAGGATGGCACACGCCTGTGGCCCCAGCACTCAGGGAAGCAGAGGCAGGTGGATCTCTGTGAATTCATGGCCAGCAAAGAAACAAAGACCTGCATTGTAATTGATCAAGAACTGACCTTTCAGTAACCAAATAAAAACCTGCAAAGGAATGAATGATAACTACTCTTCAGAGTGTGGTTATTAAAGCTGGGGGAAGGAAAGAAGCCGTCATATAGTCAAGGCTTCTACTATACTAATAACAGTTTGTTTCTTGGTTGGTTTTGTTCTATTAGTAATGGTCTTCGGGGATGCAGGAACAAAAGCAGGCAAGGCTCACCATGATGAAGGGCTCCTCCTTCATGTTAGGCCACATGTGCTACTTTGAGATGAGGAGACCAGTGGTTACCATGTTTTAAACATGTTTCTCAATTTTAAGTATTCCATAATTTATTATTTCATAACTGTTGGATTTAATTTGTCTGTTTCTTTATCGAGGCCTGATGGCACAAGCTTGTGATCCCAATATTTGGGAATTTTAAGGTCAGCTAACCACAAAAAATAAAAAATAAAAAAAAAAAATTCTAAGCCTGACTGTGGTAGTGTATACCTTTAATCTCAGGTAGGCCAGTCTGGTCTACAGAGTGAGTTCCAGGACAGCCAGGGCTATACACACATACATACATACATACATACATACATACATACATACACACACACACACACAAATCCTTTCTTAAAATAAAGAAAATTTCTGGGCAGTCAATTATGGGCTAAAATAAGGAAATTATCAAGAAGAAAACTCACTACATTAAAGCTAAAAGGCAATTTTATTTCTTTAAAGAAAAAAATTAGCCGGGCAGTGGTAGTTCATGCCTTTAATCCCAGCACTCAGGAAGCAGAGGCAGGCGATCTCTGAGTTCGAGGCTAGCCTGGTCTACAAAGCGAGTCCAGGACAGCCAAAGCTACACAGAAAAGCCCTGTCTTGAAAAACCAAAAATGATTTGGGACTAGAAATGTATGGTTCGGCAGTTGCTCTTGCAGAAGACCCAAGTTCCTAGCACCCACATAGCACCTCAAAACTTTCTATAATCCAGGGATTTCAACACCCTTCTCTGATCTCCTTGGGAACCAGGCATGTACATGGTACACAACCATGACATACATGCAAGTAAAATATTCAGATGTAGACGTGACCTTCATTCACATTGTAATAAGGTGTATCTGTATATTCCACTGTTAATTGCTGAACCTGCAGTGAGCTAAACGCTAATAGCTTCTAGTATTGTCATGGCTATTGAGGCATCTCCTATCTCAACATTGTGTAAAAATTACTCCCCAATTATCTGAGTGGTTAATAAAAAGACTAAAGCGCCTATGACTCAGCAGAGGAGTAATTAGCTGGGACTTCTTGTCCCAGTCTTGCAGGGAGGGGAAGGAAGGAAGGAAGGAAGGAAGGAAGGAAGGAAGGAAGGAAGGA